ATAGAATAAAATAGAATAGAATAGAATAAAATAGAATAGAATAGAATAAAATAAAATAGAATAGAATAGAATAAAATAAAATAGAATAGAATAAAATAAAATAGAATAGAGAGTAGAGTAGAATTAGAGAGTAGAATTAAATAGAATAGAAGTGCTTCCGAGAACATCCGTAAAAATATAGACAAAAAAAAAAACAAAAAAAAAAACGGGCCTGAGCTCGGCGCTTCACCGGATGCAGATCAGTAAAATACTACAATGCTACCTAGGGTGGTCACTTCGATGATGATATCTCAAGGCCATCGCCGTTAATTAAAAAAAAATAATAAAAAAAATTGGAACGATACACAGAGATGTCCTTCGCATGGTCGCTGCGGTTTGCAGGATGACTTGCATAAATCGAGAAATGGTCCCAATCTGCAGAAATAATTCGTTGTTCGTTTCACAATGATTTTTTTTTTTCTTTTTCACAATGGTTTTAAAAATCGTGAAGAAAGAAGACAAAAAAAAGGGAGTAGAATAAAACAGGAGTGTCCTTCGAGACATCCGTTAAAATTGGAACGATACAGAGAAGGGTAAATTAGCAAATGGCCCCTGCGCTAAGGATGACACGCATAAATCGAGAAATGGACCAATATAAATATATTAATTAATAATATTAATTAAAAAAAAAAAAAACAGAAGGCAAGTAATGGATAAGTCTTAGTTCAGAGACAAGTAACATGATTAAAATCGTCACATCTTTTTCCACGTGTCTCTATAGAGACACAGAATAACGCACAGATAAGTTGCACCCCCATAAATTTTTCATTGTTATTATTTTTTGGGGGGGGACCATTTCTCGATTTATGCGTGTCATCCTTGTCCAGGGGCCATTTGCTAATTTAGCCTTCTCTGTATCATTCCAATTTTAACGGATGACCCGGACTTTTATTTTTATTTTGTTCTTCTTTTCTTTTCTTTTTGTTTTTGTAGTTGTTTTCTACTACTGTCAAACAAAAATAGAAAATACTACACGTGCTGCTGTCTGTAAGAATACTGTCAACAGCTCACAGACCCCGGAGATTGATTTTCGCGCCGGCAGATTTTTTAAGCGAAATGGCCCCCATAATGGAGGGATGGGGTCAGATAGACACACAAAGAGAGAGAGAGAGAGAGAGAGAGAGAGAGAGAGAGAGAGAGAGAGAGAGAGAAGGAGAGATTCAAAATGAACGTCTAATCGAAGAACAGATATGAAAAGCAGGGGGAAAACCGAGGGGGAAAAAAAAAAGCAGACGGAACAGCGTGGAGAGATGGGGAAAACAAAAGAGCACATGTTGCCGTCCACAAAAAAAAGGGTAAGCAGTACGCAGAGGATAGATAACCTACGAAGAAAGACTTTATGTAGAGCGGATTGACAAGATACGAGAGAGAGAGAGAGAGAGAGAGAGAGAGAGAGACAGAGAGACAGAGAGACAGAGAGACAGACAGCCACACACACACACAGAGAGAGAGAGAGAGAGAGAGAGAGTTCTCCATGCTAGGAAAAGGGAGTGGGAATGGAAAAGGCCAATCGATCGAGTAAGAAGCGAATAGGATGGCGGGGCGATTTTCGGTCTGGGGGAGAGGAAACAGGAGAGGACAAAAATAAAGGGCACGTTACGAACCCAGCAGAAGGGTCAGAGAGGCCGAACACTCAACCGCCCGCGCAATCATTTTGTAAGATAACGATATCCCGACCCCGATTATCCGATCTCAGGCTGCCACGTGTCCGCACCACAACTCCGCAACGCGACTGCGTGCCTGTCCTCGACCGCTCCCCCTCCTCCTGGAGCTCGCGGAGACCTCAGCTGCGCACAAGCGGAGCGGAGAGCGCGCCTGCTTGTGACACGTCCGCTGTGGGCTGGCCTCCCTATGTCTACTGCCACACCTCTCCAGTTCTCAACCCACTTGCGCGCGCAAGTTCAGGTTGCGGCCGCCTCGGTAATCGTATATGGGGCCTCCTTCCACCACTCTAGAAGGCACAAAAGACAAAAAATATGGCGGTGTATATTTTTCGATGTTCTAGCGGAAGAGCTCCACTACTCTGGAATGCACAAAAGACAAAACAATATGGCGGTGAATACTATTCTAACGGCCCAATTTGTGCAATTGGCAAATGTATCTTATCCGGAAAGCTGGACAGGTACGCTGGCCATGTTTTTGTCCTTTTCCTCATTTGTTGGAGCGTGATGGAGCGAGGCCCTTTTTCGCGCCCCGGCACTCGTTGCAAGGGCTGGGCTTCCTCATCTACTCCGTATTGAGGGAAGAGCCCTTTAATTTGTTTCATGCACCTACGGGTAGGTCATCCTCTTGATTCCAGCCCACGTCTAGCTTTCGAGCCTTCATGGCTGTTACCCCACTGAAGGCATACTCACGCTACGTTAAATGTAGCTGACCGCATTTACGGCACGACCTGGATGCATCTGACCGCAATTGCACCCATAAATACGTAAAAAAGTCCTAGTGTGAGTATTCCGTGAGATAAGCCCGCTGGTCTCGGGTAGGTGCCGTGGCACCATTGCAAGGAGGCCTCGTGTGTAAAAAAGAAGGCCTGTCCCTCTGCCGGAGGAAACACTGCTCACCTGTAACTGTCAGCACTCAACCCAGTCGAAGCAAGGAGGAGGGGCGTTGTGAGGGGCATCGCCACCGCACTCACCAAATGTGAAAAAGACAAAAATGTGGCAGGTGCATCTGGCCATGTTCTAGCAGCAAGTTCATTCTCATTTTGCAGATTTCGAGAGCCGTGTGGCGATGCCTTTACAGTATCTGTGGAAACGGCGAGGCGCCGTCCTGATGACTACCGGTACCGTACTGGTAGCTCATGTTCTCAACCAATTACCTGTGAAATCTGGACAAGACGGCCTTTTCCGTTTTTTTTTTTGGGGGGGGGGAGAGGGGAATTTTGCAAAATATACCGTCAATAAGTTCATGTATGCCAAAACGCCCCTGTAAGATGTGGGTAGAGTGGAATGCCCTTTTGGGCCGAAATCTTTGTGTTGTGACCCTGTGAGGCAGGTGTACAACTTTGCAATCTGGCCCTACCTCCCAGTTTGGGCCTTGGCCTTCTGCAATAGCGCCTCGGAGAAGTTGGCAAGTACTGGGGCATTTTGCAAAGCTGGACGGTGGTCAGTAGGGGTATATTGCAAAGATGGGGGTCTACTAGTAACCGATGCCAAGGCTATTTCACAAAACGTTCTTTTTGCCAGAGGGGCATTCCACTCTACCCACATCTATTAGGGGCGTTTTGGTTATACCTAAACTTATGGGGGTACTTTGCAAATTGTCCTTTTTTATTTTTGTAGGGGGCTTTTTCACTAAATCGCAAAATCTGCTATGCTTGTGGGGGTCCCTGTACAGCCTTAGGAATAGCGGTAGGTCCGTAGTGAAAGAAAGATATGTTCCATGACATGGCAGAAAGCCAGTTAAAAAATGTGTGAGGTGAGAGAAAAGTATATGGCTGTCCCCCGATGAGGAGAAAGGCAGCTAAAAAAAAAAAAAAAGAGTATGCTATGCTCTTACAGTCACACGATGTCCTGCCGACTTCCGAACTGGGTTGCATTTGCCAGTGGTGTGGCGAGCTGCAGGGATGGGCATTTTGCTACCACCTGGAGAGGTGATGGCAGATTCTTCACGAAATGTTTGTGCTCGTTTGCCCCCAAAACGTGGCAAAAGGTCCGACAGGCCCTCGAAAGCTGGTGGCAAAAGTTACGGATTCCGCCCACGCCTCAAGAGTTTTGGGGCCTCCAACACTTGGGGGGGTGGAACGAGTACAAACCTTTTGTCGTCGGGGGGGATCTATAACTTTTCCCAAATTCCTTTTTGCATTTCATGAATTTGTAACTGAAAATTTGTGTGCTTCTATCATGGGGTGTAATCACATGGATGGTGATTATCTGATACACAATTTCAGGCCACAACCACGTATCTTTGGCCGCAATATCCCGTCTAAGTGTCGTTTGAATCGTACAGTTGGCATTTTTTGCCAACCCTTTCAATTGAGACATATGAGGGGTCGTACGCTGAAGTTAACATCCCTTCAAAACAAAATCTGTTCAACTTCCCTTTTAAATCTGGACCCATTATCCATTAGAATTTCCTCCGTGTCCAAGTGAGTTCCCAGGGACCTATCCGTGTAAGTGGCTATCTCTGACGCTTTACGTGTTTTACAAGGGTAGGCCTCTATCCATGTCCTAAAATGATCAATAAGGACCAATAGAATACTATATTCGCATTTATTAGGTCCGTATGGCATGATGATATCTGCCGCGTCCATACTAACACGTTGAAAAGGATGTTCTACCTCAATCAGTATGATCGTATTGGGAGTTTGGATCGACGTTTGATCTGTGACACACTCATACTAAGCAGTTTTTAGCTGTGTATTTTATGTCATCACGCATATTATACCAGTGCTATAAATTTCCATCGATGGCATTTTACGTGACACATACCGCAAAATGAGTGGCTTGCTCCTCGTGAGTGGCTCTCGTCTATACATTACCGTTGGAAGAGAAAGGAGACAATTAAACCACCAGTACTTGGCCCAGCTATTGAAGCCGAGCCTGAATATGCCCTGCGCGCCAATTTTTGCCGAGCCTGCGGGGAGTGGGAAAAAATACGGGACATCTGCTGCTGCAAGCAGGTACCGCCCCTTCCTTTAGACCTGCTGCCAGCAGATGGAACGTAAACAAGCCGTCGTTTTCTTGTTTCCACTCACGCATTTAATGCTCCCGTGAAGGATCTTCTTCCAAAAAAAAAAAGCCAAAAAAAAAAAGGCAAAAAAAAAAAAAAAGAGAAACGTGAACGCCGTGCAGCAGTGAAGCCAGATACATGCGTCGAAGTTGCAACGTTACACTGCCTCTGGGACCTGAGGCAATGAATGCTCCCCGTCTCTCACGGGGAGCAAGTGCAGAAACAGCCAACTATCTTATTATTAAAAAAAAAAAAAAAAAAAGGGGAAACGGGAAACAGGCATATGAATATGATTGGCCTGAGATTCATACAACGCCGTGCAGCAGTGAAGCCAGATACATGCGTCGAAGTTGCAACGTCACACTGCCTCTGGGACCTGAGGCATTGAATGTTCCCTGTCTCTCACGGGGAGCAAGTGCAGAAACAGCCAACGATCTGATTACAAAAAAAAAAAAAAAAAAACGAGAAAGGGGAAACGGGAAACCAGCATCTGAACGTGATTGCCCTATGATTCATATAACGCCGTCCAGAAGTGAAGCCAAATACATTTTTCCCCCCCCCCCCAAAAAAAAATGAAAAGAAGGAAAGCAACCATCTATCTTATTTTTTCCTCGTCCGTTTTCTTTTTTGTTTTTTTGCCTCCTTGCTACCACTGTCCGCGCGTTTCCAGATAGCACACCACCAGGACATCGTGCAGTCCTTTTGCCCCGTTGCCATGGGGCCACCAGCTCCCTCCCCCATTGCCATGCCAAGCCTTTGCCGAGGCGCGGGAAATGCGTAGCGTTAAGGCTAAGGGCCCACGGCCGATGTATGGGCCAAGTACTAGTGGTTTAATTGCAATCCTGACCCGACAATTTTTCGTTTTTCTAGATGGTCATCCTTCCATGATTGATAATTTTTAGATCTCTCTGTAGTGCATCGCTTGCCATCTTTCATGTAAACGTCTAAAGATTTCACCACCAATCATTCACAAAATTTTCTCAGTTCGGACTTTTGACTCTCAATACTTTTCATCATACTCAATGTTGTCAGCCCGTGCTGCCAAAAATCGTCGTTTCGTAGGAATTTTTTCTTCTCCACACAAAGGACAGATCGGGATTTTATCATCCGCGCCATAACGATTATACACCTCGTGGGCGCGGTTGATACACTTGACACATCCGGCCTAGTCAGCAAAATGAAACTCAAAGGGGTGACCGTCGAAATGATCGACACCACACACCAGGTCCTATGAAATGAACTCATAAAAGTAACATAACCGGGAACGAACAGATTAAAAAGCCACGAAGGGAGGGAGAATTCATAAGAAGCAGGGAGGTTAAATGCAGAAGAAGGAGGGGTCGCTATGATCGGTGTCAATCGAACATGCTTAACTTCATCCCTTTTGAGGATCTCTACCTCAACATACCCTGACCCACTTACCGGCTTAGGCTCGTTCCACGTCCAAGTTGTAATTCTTCACTCATAAACACCTTCATTGGTCTGAGTCTCTTAGCGTTACCGTGCCTCTTGTTCATTCGAATACCAAACTCCGAACTTTGGAATAACGTAGCCCATTGTTGGGGCATACACGTGTAGTCCTTCGACTTCTTTAGTGCAAGGAGGGGCTCATGGTCTGTGACGAGGATAAACTTCTATTGTATAGGTATGCATGAAAGTCGTTGATACCCTGGAGAGTTGTGCAATACTCGCCTTATGGGGATGAGACGTTTTATTTGCTTTTTGGAATCGTCTTCAATACATAGTCCACTACACGCTCCAGACCATCTATCTCCTCGTGTGCGAAAATTATGGAAATAGCTTCAGATTGCTAATCGACAATGAGAATGAAAGACCTTTATGGGTCTAGTTTGATCAACACAGGGACTAAAATCAAAGCGGCCTTTAACTCTCATAACGAATTATCACACTCCGATCTTCAAATCTAATTCAACGACTGAGATTTCTTCAACAAATTTGTGATCGGACCCGCAATTGTTGTAAACCCCTCGATAAACCCCCCTACAGTATGAGACAACTTGAAGGTCGAAGAACGCGTCGACGAGTGAGTGAGATCGGTAGAGCACCCCGAACAACTGTAGTCTTGTGTGAGTCCAACTTTAATCCGCCAATGGTGATGATATAAAGTTAATTTTTTTCCACTTGAATCATCATTTTGAACCCAGCGTCTCGTAGCGAATGCCTACATTGCATTTCTGGCTCCCCTTACGAGTA